CTGGATTCCCTCCCACGCGCCATGGCGGGCTCCTCATCCCGGTTCTGCCGCCAGCCGCCCCGTGGGGAGGGAACCGTTGCTGCACCTGTTTCCTTTAGCCTCAGTTTCCCCCTCTAACAGTTAACGAACGGGGTTCTTGGGTGGCGGGGCAGGGGGGCGGGCGACGGGCAGGCGTCCTGAGACCTGCGGGCCCTTTCCTTCGCTGGGCCTCTTGGGCGTTCAGTTTCCCCTTCGGTTGAAATGGGATTAAACGCGCCCAACTCAGATTAACACCCTTGGGATCAGCGAGTCCAGGACGGAAACTGAGTCCAGAGGTGGACGTTCCCCCAGGACCAGCCAGTGGAAGGGCTCGGTACAACCAAGTCTGGGGCTCACCGCGCAGGGGGGGAAGCTGGACGAACTGCTGGGGAGAGGGAGGGTCCCCTTGGACCCTCCGTCCACTTTGTGGAGAATGGGGTTTGGGAAAAGTGCATGGGCTCCAGGGCCACCCCTTAGCGCGTCGCAGTGGGCCCTTCATCTTCCTCGTCCCCTCCTCTACCCCATTATCTCCTGAAGAAGGGGGCGGGACGCATGGGGAGCGTCACAAGCCGCGGGTGGGATGGGACACACACAAGCTACCCGGAGCGCCCTGCCCGGCAGGCGGCGCTCTCGGTTTCCTTTGTTTAGTTTCTTAATTGGTTACCGACCTTGAGCGGTCAGATCGGTGACTTGTCATTCGCAATTTGCAAAGCTGACTCCAGGACTCATGTGTTCTCTTCTATGTCATTTTTGAGAGGCACACATCTTATTTTTTAAATTACAAGACGGTTCCTGGCGCTTTGTAAGCACTGACCGAATGTCACTATTTTTATACCTGTTCCCCAATCCTGGGCAATAACCTAGGCGTGGCTAGGAGCTTGGTTCTGAGAGTGAGTCTGTGCCTCATTTTCCTCATCTGTAAAATGGGGATAATACTCAGAGATTTGCCGAGGGATTCGATGAGTTAATATGCTTAAAAAAAAACCCTTAGGACAGAGCCAGGTAGGGAATAAAAGCCATCTTTTGTAAGCAGGGGGAGAAGAGGGTGGTTGGGGAACACACAGCTCTGCCCTGGGTTTCTGGCCTTGGCGACGAAGGTTTTGGCTTCCTGCCTTGGGGTTACACCCTTGCTGATGGGGGTTGTCGCAGAGTGACGAGAGGTATCCCAAGCCAGCTTCTCTTGGGGTCCCAGGGCTTCTGACTCGGGTTTGCCATATTCGCGGTGTAACCATGGAGAAGCACTGATGGGTGGCCCACACAGGGTACCCCACTGGGTGTCCCACAAGCTGTTCGGACGCCCTCGGCCTCGTCGTGTCCCTCTGGCCCAGGGACTCCCGGGCTCCGATGTAGGGAAGTGTGCCCAAGGTCACGCAGCTAGGAGGAGCGGAGACCTAACACTTTTCTCTGCCCCAGAGCTGGAACTCTGTCTCTAAGCTATCTGGCCAACTGGGGAGATCCTCCAAATGGCTGGGAGACCCGGGGATGCTGCATCGATGAAGGCATTTTAGGCACAGTGGGAGAGAGCGAGAGGAAAAATATTGAAGTATAATACATCTGAGTCTTGCTGTCTTGTCTGCCCTGCCTCCAGCTGTTCTGGACAGAATAAAAGAGGGGCTTTTTTTTTTTTT